AAGGCCCGGGAGCGCATCCCCGAGCGCCGGGCCCGGCGGCCGCGCTGCGGGGAGGGCGAGGGCAGGGCTGGGACGCTCTGCTTGAGAGGGCAAGTGCTTCTGCAGGGCAGGGAGCCGCTGCCTGCCCAGGCCCCCCTTCTGTAAACACAAAGAAAGGGGGCCTGGGGAATAGAAACCCAAATCCACTTGTAATCGTACAAGGGAATCGGGCGTAATTACTCGAGCAACCTAGATGAAGATTGATGAGGCTTTAAAGCGGCGTTTCGGATCGATCACCCTGCCCTTTGGAGCCTGCAGCCGGGCTTTCCCGGCTCGGCTCGGCTCCTTTCCCACCGCGAAGGGAGGGAGAGAAGATGGAGGCGAGACTGGGAGAGCAGTAAAGCAAGCTCGGCGCATGTGATTCCGATCAGCTGACTAGGGTCAAGAGGCTACCCCGGTTTATTAGGAGATGGAAAACAATAAAATGAAGAGAAAATAGAGTTTGTATCAATATTATCCGGCCTGCCACGTTGGGCTGCTGAAAGCTGTCACTGAAGCTGTGCGGTTTAGCTTCCCCTTGTACACACAGCAATCCGTGCCTTCCTCTTTATTTATTTTGCAGCGTAAATGACAAAACACGGTGCAATACGGTCTCAAATTGGGTGTTACAGCAAAGTAAAACATTAACAACATGACAGTTAGATGCGCCGATATAGCACTAATTTGGGCTAAGTGAGCAATTTGAAGTGTTGCTCGCAAGACCTGGTGGTAAAGCCTGCGTGCGGGACTGGGGGAGGAGGAGAGGTTGTATCCACGCCTGTCAGCCTCGGGGGGACCTGCAGCCCCCCCCCCCCGCCCCGCCCGCCCCCCCCCCCCCCCCCCGGCTCCTGCGCTGCTTTGGTCCCCAGGGAGACGAGCGCCTGGGGACGGCAGCTGGAGGCGAGCGCAGGCACCCTCTGACCTCTGAGCAAGGTCCTGCTCATTGCTTGGCAGATTTTAACTGCACCGAACAACCAAACCCTTTGTAGCGTTCACTGAGATGAGCAGTTTGTCAGTCTCTCAAAGGTGCGTCAGTCCGACGTTGCACCCTTTTTCTGAGCGCTGGGGCTTGTATTATTGGTAGGTCAGATGGGTTTGTGCACGCGTGTGGATGCGTGTGTTTGTGTATGTGTATAAATTACCTTACACGCTTTAGTGGTTCAATCTAGACGTTTATTTAAGCTTTTATTTTAATTAGAACAAGTGAGCTTCCTAGACACCGACACTGTCAGTTTTAACAGTAGATTGCATTCCTATTGAAGACAGTGGAAAACGGATCGATCCGTTATCTTTTGCATTAAAGTGTTTTTGTTGGTTGTTGTTTGTTTTGTTTTGTTTTGTTTTGTTTTTTCCTGGCTTAAAACCTAACAATTTATGCGGAGAAGGCTGCCTTTTACAAGAGGTTTTCCCCATCCCATCTTTTCAGTGCCCGTGCAAGAGTCTCTTTAAGAAATATATTTGAGCGAAATGTTTTTTACTTTAATTTTAAAACGTTAAGTGACAGCAAGTAGAAATGAAAACTGCCCTGCCGTAAATATAGTTAACGATGCCAGCCTTTGTGTGCGTGGGGTATTGAAGTAGGTAAAACGAAATAATAATTAAAAAAAACAACAAACAACAAAACAAAAAAAAACCCAATCTTTTGTGATACTTTCGGAGTTGAAATCCGGACCCAGGGTTAAAAATAATGTCCCCAGGCTTCGCGGGGTCGGTGTGGCGGGCAGGGGCTGCCGGCTGCTCTGCCGCCCCCCGCCCGGTCCGCCCGGCCCGGCCGCCGCGGGGACCCCTCGCTGCCGGACCCCAGATGTGTGCAACAAGTCGCCGCTATCCCA